GCCTATTCAAGCCTAAGCTGCAAGTGTGCAGCTGCAAATGTGCAAAGGTTCGTTTGATATCTTGTAAAAATTAGAAGTAATCTGTACCTCTGCATGTGGAGGAAGTGTGTCTGAACTCAATTTCCATGATTGTAGGATTCTTTTTCCTCACGAAACCTGACAATTAGTGGGTAATTTCGTTACTCTCTATATCCTTCGAGAATCTTTTGCCCGTCCTTCACAGGAAGTAGCAGACTTGAGGATCAATAAAGAATACACCTGTTCATTAAACGTCTGTTGGCCACGTTGTGAAGTGAATCGGTTCAAGTTCTTCACACAGTTGTATAGCATTATACTTTTTTCATCAATCTTCATGTGAAAGGAGAAGCACAGCCACGCCGTATTGAACTGGCAATAAAAATGACCAAGCACAGAAGGGCTAAACATTCATGATCTATTGCAGAAACAGAATTGTCATAGTTTGTGTCCTGTGGTGTGACCAGTGATTTGTTCGTTGTCGACTAAAAATTATCCAACGATAGGTTTTCTGGCACAGCTTGTTGTCCGAGAAAGCATACCATCTTTCTGTGCAGTTGAAAAAAAGCTAATGTTTCTCCAGAATTGCTCTTGGAGTATCAGTCCACGAACATTAAGAAGTTGACACCCTCGCTGGAGAAATCAATAGAACCAATCTCTAGAAGTGTGGGTAGAATGTAGCAGATTCAGCATTAAGTACATGTTCCGAATGGAGATGACATCATCCACATGAAAACTTATTCCCTGACCACAGAAACACATTCTGCTTTTGAGACAACAGAAAGTGGAATTGAACATAAAGCGCTGCTAACATTTTCATTCCCAACACAACAGACGATAAGTCTATTACTGTACCGTATTCAGGTTTATCAACAGTTGGGTGCACAGTTGGCCCATGTTGGCAACACCTCCTTATCGCAGGAAATGCTTCCAAGTCCCAAACACATTATCAATTAGGGCTCTTATGAATCACGATCCATACACAAAAGAGATGTACTGTCAGCTGTGTTTTGGATTCAGGCTGTGCGATTAAACCATCAGGGGGTTGAGAACAAGCTCAAACTATGGCTGTGTATGGATTCAACGGAGATTTTAAAGAATGATAGCAACTGACAGAACTTGTGGGTACTACTACTTCTGGGTTGTGGAAAGCTTTCACTGGGCCGGTTACGGACATTGCATCAGAAATTTACAAGTTGGTGGTGTGAAGACATCTTGTTCGGATGCCCTTTCGTACTGTCACTCACTGCAGTAGCCAGTCTCAAGCAACCCCATATTTTAAGCTCTCACAGCACACTTCCTTAGAGTCCAATCAGGAATGCCGCTTGGACCCACTAAAGAAATGTTAAGAAATTTTGTTATGTTCTGTTGTATATCACCCACAAGTTTGATCATTTATTCATTCATTCTATTCTATTCTATTCAGCTCAAGTTCAGGAACACCCAACTCTTGTAAATTTGGACTATCTGACAAATGTTTGCACATCCTCCATTGAAGCATATCCTCATTTGTCAAATTCAACATGATCGACAGGATAAGTGCAAGCTCAGCTTGTGTTCGACAGGATATTTGTCAAGCTAATTTCATCTCTCCATCTCTTGTAGTTTCCAATGCAGGTAATACTAGATGCTGTCCATGTTGTGCAGCTCATACCCTAACAAATAGTTTTGGAAAGCCTAAATCAAGTTAAGGATTTGTGCTACTCAGACCCTAATCCTACTAATCCCAAGTAAAGGGCACTGGAACCATTGTACAGTTGATTTTGTTGTCTAACAATGTTGGAATTGGCTTATTTGGTGCAAGTGCTATTATTCTTATCATGATTTTTTGTAGTTTTTTTTTTTTTTTTTTTTTTTTTTTTTTGTATGATTTATTATGTGACATACATAAAATTTATTTTTTTATAAATATTAGAATTTGCTAATACCACCACAGATTTTGCAATTGCCACCACAATTTGCCATCCACTACATGTCCCTATACTTTTTGCTACTGCCACAACTTTTTTTTATCAATTTTTCAATCATTTTTTTGGTTAAATTTAAGTATATGTATATATAACATGTTTAAGTTATCATCTTAATTTTTTTATTGGAATTTTTAAAAAGATTAAATAAACATGTTAAGCATGTGTAGAATAGTACTGGCAATTGCAAAAACTATGGTGGCACAAAAATTGTTTTAAATACTATGTGTATATATATATATATATGAATGAGTAGAAATTTGGAATTATATTTTGTAGATATATTTTATATATTGAAGCTTAAATTTTTTATAAATTTTAAATCTTAGTATATAATTTTTAATATTTTTATACATTATATTTTTGTTTTGTAAATATTCCATATAAAGACATTTGTAAAAGTATTGAATTGATATTTTTCTTTATTTTTTTGTTAGTTTCTACAAGTATTTAATAATAGAGTATTATAAAATTCATTGTAGCACACTTGTAAATGTATGATAACAACAATTTTAAATATAAAATTTTAGTTTTAAAAAATAAAGCAAATAAAAAGAAAGTTTATATTTATAAAAAATTTAAATGTATGGTAACAATGATTCTAAATATAAAAATTTAGTATTCAAAATTTAAAAAAATAAAGTGGTAGTTCAAATTTATAAAAATTTATAAATTTAGAAATTTTTATAGGAATTAGGCAATCTTAATTATTTATTAGATTAAATTGATTATTTACAACTTATCATAAAAAGAAGTCAAGTACATAGAAAATTGGTTTAAATCAAATAAAAGGTATAAAATCAATGACATGACAACAATCGACAAAAAAAGAATGACTATACTTAGCATGACATAGTACATAAGGTATAATAATTTCTATAGTTTCTAACAGAAGAAATTATAACTTTGATTTTGCATCTCTTATATAAAACACTCAATTCATAAGTAGTTTGGAGGTCCATTACTTAGTTTAAAAAACACTATGAAACTTTTGAAAGTTAATTATTAATGATAGTTCTAAAGAAAAGACAACTAATTCCAACATAATACCACCTACAAATATTGACATGATTTGGTGAAGACGTCTTTTAAATTATTATAGCTTTGCTTTATATTTGTAGACATAAAAAATATATATATATATATCTTATAGATGAAACCTTAAAACTAAAAACTATCTGGATTAATAATAAAATAATAACTTAAAAAGTAATTAATATCTTTAATAGATATATATGTATTTGGATATATTTTTAAAATAAACACACTATCCTTCAATAATCCAAAAACTCCTCCAAATCACAATATTGCCTTAAATTTAATAGTACCTCTAATTGAATCTTTTACTCAAGTATTTCTAAATACCTTGAGTTTGACAATTTCATCAACATTTATTTTTTTTAATTTTTTATGTCATATTTTGTTCTATGATACATTATTTATATTGAATTTTTATTTCTTGTACTTCTAAAATAATTTAAAATAAAGAAATCTTAACTTTTTTTGAAAATAAGTTGTAAAATTATATATAAATTATTCATTAGAATAAATAATCAATAAAAATAATAATCAATAAATTTATTGATTATTTATATAATAAATTTACAAGTAATTTTTTATTGATTATTTATATTAATTTTTATTTATATTAATTAAATATAATAAATTTATTAATTATTTATATTAATTAATTAATTAATTTATTCAATAGACTATTAATATAAATAATCAATAAAAAATTACTTATGAAATTCAAATATATATATATATATATATATATTCTAAAAGTTCTCTTTGACAACAAGACCAAGTTAATGAAGTTCTTGGAAGAAGAATATACCAAGATTAAGGTAAAATAGAAGGTATTTAATATAAGGTGAAGAAGGAACTTTAGTGTATGTACTGATAGATATTACAATAATCTTGTTCTAAGTACAAGTGCTATGCCAACCTATATTATATTTGTAAGAATTGTCATAGTCGATTATTAGATTGGTTATGAGTAACTTGTGTAGGTTAGTAAAAATTTGTAGGTTACATTTTTTGACACTACCAAATAATCAACAGCTACATAAAATTTATACTTAGATGTATTATTATAAGAACGTTTTTTTCCAAAAGAATTATTAGTAATAATTTTTTATAATTTTTACATTAATAACACGTCTTTTGCAACCAGTTTTATTGTTATTTAAAAAAAAAGAAAAAGAAATGTCCTGTTTTTTTTCAAATTATATATATATATATATATATATATGGATGTGTGTATAATAGCAGGTTTGGTTGCATGTCAATTTTCACAACAAAGTTATGAAGAAAAAAAAGACTGTTATTTACTGGAGGCCTTATATAAACTGAAAATAAAAACTTCAATGTATTGTTTAAAATAAAGACTATTTTATATTTATAAATGTTTCTGGAAAAAATACTATATTATTTAATATGCTAGTGATTACTTGGAATAGGCTGGTGTTCTTCACTATTTCTTAATCTTGTTAAATACATTTCCAACATGAACAGTAGATAACAACAATAGAATTTAATAATCACAAATAAATATAATGGAATTTGCACAAATGTATGTATATATATACATATATATACATTATCTTGCTTGAATCTCTAAATTAACCATTCCTACTATGTCTTATTATTGTCATTGAACTATTTCTAAGATTGATTAACTGTTTTGTGTAAAGAAACAAATTAAAATGTTATCCAGAAAATTGAACCTAGCAAATTTGGAGTGTTGTAAAAAGTCTGGAAATAGGGATTTTACAATTTAAATGGAAACAGATGATGAAAGGATGCAACAGCAAAGTTATTAGAATAGACACATTTGCACAAGGTTGTGTAGTGGAGGAGGAACAGGAAGAAAAGGTCAATGATTCTAATCTCTTAAAAATTCACAAACCTTTCATTTGTATCAAACCAAGGGCTCTAAATTTCGCCTTGTTTATTAGTGTATTTGACCATAAATGTTTTTAACCCTCCTACACTGGTAATAAACACTGAAGATATGCATAACTCACATGTTATGAAGTATATTACCAAATACCATCATTTCGGAAGCTCTGAAGTGGAATCCAGTTCTAACTATAACAATGAGTCCTCATTTGTAATACCTTGTACTGATTGAAAGCATATCCATATTCAGATACATTATGATTTCGACCAAATTAGTAATTTCAGGATGTTACTTTACAAATCTAGCTGTCTCTATACAAGAGGGAATCTAAGAACTGCATTGAACCTTCTACCTCTATTATTCGTAAGTAAGTAAAAAGTAGCAAAAAGCGTCACCGCCACGTCACAGCCTTAGTAACCACCACAGAATTATATTTCCATCTACAATTTAGCAAGCAGCACATGTTGAACATGTGTGGCATCATAGGACGTTGAAGTGTCCACACTAAAGTCTCATCCTTGGACATATCCATCAGTAGCGGCAAGATGATCTCCTCGAGGCAATTCCTCTGTATGATGGGATTAGTGTGACCAAGCTTTCCAGACTATCAAGCACCTGATCAAAGTTACAGATTAAGCATTAGGTGAATAGCAGCTGTGCTTAGTCCAAAGATCTACGCGTAATTTTACAGATCTCCTTCTATATTGTATCAACAAGCCATACTTCGGGTATCTCGCCAGTGGGGTTCATGATATTGGATATCAGAGACCCACTAACCACTGGCATAATTTTCAAATGAATGTTCACTATACAGTAACAGTGGAGTGCATTGACTAACCTCACTAAATTCCGGCCTTATCCTTGGATCTGCGTGCCAACATTGTTGCATCAAAGTTGCCAGAGCAGATGGAGTGTAAGGCGGCACTTCTGGACGGAGACACCTGATCAGAAAAACACGATAGATCAATACTTGTGCAGAATGCAGTTCTTGATTACACTTCATGATTCGAATCTGTTCTGGTGTTGTTCAGCTCTTATAAATTCTACTATCATTGTCACTCAAGAGACATAGGAGATCCAGCGTGCTAGTCAACCCAATTGTAGTTGAAAACTAGAACAGGCTGATGCTATGGCTTGAACCCAGACATGCACAAGACGCATCATTACACAATGACTACCGTTTGCAATGTCTGCAAGATGGAGCTCGGGCTGCTAGACCTACTGCTTTCCTCTCCGTCATTTATTGGAATAGGTTGCAAGGCATACCTCTGGACAACTCCAATTGCAGCTTGTAGTGGGGTGAGTCCTGAATAGGGAACTCCTCCTGTCAAAACCTCCCTGTATACCTCACACGATTTGTCAGCTAGTCTAGGTGGGGAAAATGCTGCAGAACTTTAACTATCTATTTTACTGGACATACACGTGATTGAAATAATCTGATTGGGACAACTGTGAAGAGCGCAGCAAGACTTCTCTCATACAATTTCAATTTTTCTATAAATACGGATATGATATCAGAAAACTGTTCTCTTCCTGTCGCTTTCAATTCCCTACCACATTGTGATGCCGTAAGAATAAACATCTGCTTTGTGGTTGTAGGGCTTATGCTCCAGGACCTGATGCAGTCACATCAACGGTATCATTATCCAAATTCCAAAGTAATTAAGGCTAATTTCAATAATACCATCAAAGAAGATGCTCACGATTGTAAGTCCAGAAGATAACCTTCATCAATCCTTTTACACCCGTAGCCAAACTGATTTCAGAAGATCTTCAAACTAAGGCAGTCTGGAAGGACATAATGTGTACCTCAGGAGCCATCCACCGATACGTCCCCGTTTCCGCAGTCATCTCAGCCGAAAACTTCTCAGCATTTTCAGCAGTATTTAGTGACGGGGGCTTCAATCGAGCAACTCCAAAGTCGCAGACTTTAACAACCTGAACATGACAAAGTCTCAAACTCTAATGAGAATCACTGGCACCTGATTTGATGCTGCAAAATTATCCACCACATGGCCATATCTAGGCCGTCTCCTCGAAATAGAATACTATGTAAAAAGGCAAAAATAACTTTAACTAGTGTAAAAAGCTCGATGTGTAAAATCACAGAACGAAGCTTATGATCATTGCAGAAAAAGCGTAGTGGAGTCGGAAGAAAGCGAAGAAAACAGAAACCTACATCATATTCATCGATAAGAAGATTCGCAGCTTTGAGGTCCCGATGAACGACTCCTCGCCTGTTCAGCAACGAGTCCACAAAGCTTAGGCATGTTACACTCATATCGTGTGTTCTTTTCCAGGTTCTTGAAAGAATCAAAGGTTTCTGAAAGATTCAGCATGTTTGCTTATATATATATATATATATATATATATATATATATATATGTGTGTGTGTGTGTGTGTGTGTGTGTGTGTGTAAGTGCGCGCGCACGCACGCACGCATGTGAATATGTATGTATACAGAAAAAGAAAATACAACACACCTGTGTAGAAAATCCATTCCCCTTGCAGCATCACGTAAGACCTTAATGGCTGTTGCAAAGTCTAAGCCTGACCTCCTTGATTCCAGCACGTCCCGGACACTGAGACCATCCAAACCTCACATTGTCATATATTTGTGTTACAGATGTAGTTGCCAATCAGGAAATATTTAAAACATCAATCATGGAATATGGACACGAAGGCGTGAATCTAATCACATTCTAAAGCATCGCTACGTTATCGCCGCCAACGTGAATGTACAAGAATATCAATAAAAGAAATTACTACATTCTTTTCATGCAAGAACACAAAAAATTAACTCCAATGGTTAGCATATCAATTGAGACCGCTTCATACTTCACTTTGGCTATAAAACCAGCTTTAATATATATGGATTGTATTATAAGCACTAAAACCAGCTTTTCGTTTAACTGAACAGATTTTGAATTCATGGTATTTACAGATTTTTATTTTTTACCGAATACTGTGATAGTAGTCAACACTGATACCGCGCCGCAGTTGAATCACTAGCATCGTCCGTTTAAGAAACACTAGGAGAGTATCAAGCATGTACTAAGAAATCACCTGCCGCCAGCCATCAGTTCGGTAACAATACACAGCTGAGGCCACTTTGAGCAAGCTCCTATGAACTGCACCACATTCTTATGTCTGACCAATCTGCATACACGTGGTTTCACAGGGTAACATTACAATTTAATTATGAGCAATAAATGCGTAAAATCACTCCCCATTTTCTTCAAACAAGTCAACTTTTTAAAACCAGGCGAATCAGAATGATCCAAGTGATTTCGCGCCTCTCACCTCATGATTGATATTTCCTGCTTATAAATCTGCAAGCGCTCAGCAGCTTGGCGAGACTGGTGCGTGTCTCCATCCGTGCCACTGCCGTTACATTCATCTACCTCAATGATCTTAATTGCTACATCTTGCGACAAGTACTTCCCCTTGAACAACTGGCCTGTCGAACCTGTTCCAAGTCTCTCGCCGATGTGGAGCTGAGGACAAAAATCATGCAGTAACACCCACAGGATTCAAACAAAACTGTTCTCTAAAAGTATGCAAAACTGAATTGAAGCTACTTCAACACCATTCCATGACAAGAATCGGATGTCCTGGGAAAGACTTGGGCAAAAGTTTCTGTAAATGAGAACAGCAATTTAAAATTCAGTTAAAACCGACGTACCATATTATAATCGATAGCCCAATCTTCATACTGTATAGCTTCAGCAGCTGCTCGTAACTCGCTTCTATTTCTATCACTTCTCCTTCCCATCTTTTCATCAAGGGCATCCAAAATTGCCTTCCTGAGTTCTTCAGCCTACAAATTCCAAGCCGAAATGCTGAGTTAAAAGTGCTTATAAACACATATATCCCTTACGTTCAAATAACAGTCATGTCTACTGGCATATCGCACACAAGCTGATACAAGTATCCGTGATTTTGGTATTCATGAGTTAGCAATTGGTGACACAGAGTTTACTTGCACGTTGCTATTCAGAGCGAGAATCTAAATGCGTCGCCACGCAAATCTAACAAGAAGTGAGACGAAATCAGAGGCCTGTGAAAAGAAATGGTTCTACACACCACTAGCAATAAAGAACCCACATTTTAATACAGACACTACATATTATTTGTCATGAATGAAAGTAAAGGAATTGGAAAAAGTAAAGGATACGAAATTTCCATCAGATCCCACGAGAATTTAGTTGATCGTATTGTATTCCAAGGTTATTTTATCATAGTTTAAGATTCACTGTCAAGTACTCAGAAGACTATGATAAGTTCGCAGCAAAAAAATGAATGGAGGGACAGCACACCTCATCGCCCGGCCAACCTTCTACAACAAACACCTCCAAAGCCATTCCATCCGTTGTACTGAACACATGAGCTTCCTGCATCATAATCAGTTAATTGTGAGAAATAACATGGAACACGAGTCTAGATCAAAAACAAAACTACTACGTTAGGAATCATGCTTTAGAATATACAAGTGAAAAAGCAGGATTTGAGATTAAACAGAAACACCACGCTCCGAACTAGCACGAAGGATACCAAACAGTGGAGTTGTCATGGATTCAAACAGACAAATGCTAGATATTCTTCCGGACATGCCTTAGGATGCACTAGCATACAAGACGGACACAAAGATTACATCAAACCTTAATATTCAACTGGAGATGCGAATCACTAAGAGCCGATGTTAAGTATTTCAGAAGTCCCGGCCTGTCAGTGGTAGCAATAGTGACTTCGTAACCAAAGGACGGGGATAGATCATCATGGTCACTTGTATAACCAACTCCTTCTTCCATGTGCAAGGGGTTTATAAAATTTCCCCACGACCGGCGAGGTATTGTATGCTGTAAGCCATGGACACTGGGTGGCGTGTTTCCAATAGAAGAATGACGAGGAGGTGTTCCCCGTGGCGGAGTTGACCTAGACCTGCAAAAGAGGGGCTCTGAGGGATGAACCTTTGGACTGCTCCCAATACCTAGGCCCAGAAGGTTTGACGTAGAACCAAATGTTGGTTTAGGAATCTGGACTCCTTTCACATGTACTAAAGCTCCGTCCGTAGGTGAGAGATCGTCTGCAGAAGTTCCGAATCCCGTCAATTGGACTTTTCTCACAAACACTAATGGAACGACAACTGTGTCGGCGTAAAAGCTGTTGCCAAATTCTAATTCTTGCGCTTCATCAAGCAACTCCATATGTAGCAACACATCTTCGTGTCTCTGTGGGTCGATATTCAAGGTATACCTGCAGAGCCGTTCAGTAATAAGTAAAGATTCAAGAAGACAAAATACAGCATGGAACTCTAGTTTCTGGAGAGTCACATCGATGACGACTTCAGCACTAGGGAAACCATATCATAAACATTACGATATCTGAATTAACATTAGCAAATTCAAAACAAATATTGTTATATCAATCAGAACTATACAACCTATCCTGTTACATGTGCAGTTATAATCCAATTTAAGTAAACAATTCTCCTGACCTTAATTCATAAGAAGCTACTCAGTCCAGCTGTTACTACCCTGACAGCCGAAGCAAACCAATGCCATGAAGATTCCTGGTATCTTGCTAAGACTATCTACAAATGGCGCAAAGTGACCTTGACCGCAATGCAAGAAAGTGGCATACGCTACAACCACTTACTTCCACCTCGCGACACTGTCCATCCAGTTGTTGGAAAATCATGAGGACCCTTGCTTAATGAAGCCAGTGGTTGCATTTCTAGAACTTGCGAGCACTTACTACAGGTCCAACTAACAAGAAGACGCCCTTCAATTGAAGCTAGTCATGATCTCAGCCATATTTGGTCGTGTAGCAGTTGACAGCACCGGCAACTGACAGGACATCCAACCACTCCAAGGATGGCTCATGAACACCACAAATCCAGTCGCAGATACCTAGGCCAACGAATTGTTACGCTCAACGACTGAGAAGACTACAGGTCTGGAACTAGGACTTAAGGCCTATAATCAGACTTACTTCTGGTTAATCCGATAGAATGATCACCGATCCGGAAGCGATTGCTTTATATTCGAAATGAAGCCAACTTTCTCAACCAGATTTGAGGTGATCAAGATAGCACTTAAGTTCATTCATCAGGTGATGTCAGAAAACATTATGAGATGTCTTAAACAATGCAATCAGATAATACATTGTCCTCACCTATCAAACAGAGAATAAGATCAGTCAACAGAATTTGAACCCTTGAATCTCGATCGCTTCCAATCGGCCAGACTTTGATAGAGAGCGTCACAGACGAAGGCACGTACAGAGAACTACAATAAAAGATCCCGCTAGCTAGAGAATCTTACGAGAAAAACGATCCAAAATACAGCTTTCTATTTCCATAGTCACCATCCAAAGCACTTGTATTGATGAAAAGACAATAGTAACTAAGGCCTGCATGTCCTAACATAAGAGACAGGACAAGCGATCTTGTGGAGAAAGATTACGAACTAGGACATAGTACGGCCGGCAGACGTCTATCTCAGCTCGATACCATCGATCGGATTGGCTACGAAACAAAAACATCTTACACCACACCCAGCAGAAGAGGACAAGTTCTCTCAAACAGAAAGAGGGAGAAATTAATCAAAGAAGAATACCGAGAAGGTAGACGAGCAAAATGGTCTCGAAACTTCGCGCAGACTTCATCTCCGTATCCAGCCGCTCGTACGTTCTTAAGAACTTGCCCGACCACGCCTTCTAGGGCTTTCATGGACGAGGGTGATAAACTTCTCTTGCCACTTTCATTGAACCAAGCAGGGTCTTCCATCCTTTCGAAGGATCCTCGAGAGGACCCCTCGGAATATAGGGGGCTTTCACTGTCACAATCTTCATTCGGTTCAAGGCCTTTCACAACGAGCTGGAAAGATTGGGAAGAAGGCTTTAACGCTTGACAATAGCTGCTCCCTACTGCCTCCAGCAATCCATTTCCATTCTCGGTGTATGACCCGACTCTTTTTCCATTACTAAGCATGCTGACATTTCCTACCAAATCGAGTACCACTACGGTACCTATTGTGTATACTTCGAGTCTTCCGACCAAAAACCTCAGTCGCTTCCCCTTTCCAGCATACGTCTTCTGGACCAGGATGGTAAACTTGCGCAGCACTAGGTACTCTCACACTTTCGCTCGTTAGAACAATTATTTTCACAATTTACGACATACTACGAAGACAACCAGATTTCACACACATTGTCTTATATCATGCGAGGACTTGGAACAGTATAGGGGAATATCCGTGTATAATCCTGACTACAGTGACGGGCAGCGTCCCTTGAGACAGCTGTGTGAATGAACGCCTTCCAGAAAGTCTAACACTCAATGTAGGTGCATTTGCGTAACGACCTCCATATGTACGCTGCAGGCGGTACAGTTAATGAGTTGCTAGTTTCATAAACTACACTGAGGATCCCATGTCACGGGTAGTAAGTAAACTCCTAGTATTGTTAGAGTATCCTTAGACAACCATTGAGAATTCGAGGAGACGTGAATGCCTAGAAGACCCTAAGGTGGTGCCATGGGATCCTACTTAAATTTCCCCGACGGGAAAGGGCACTAAACTATGCAAGTATTGAGATACTGGGTACTAGACTTGAGTGAAAGGGAATGAAGATATAAGCAAGAAATCCAACAACTAATGAAGCCTTCAAGTTATGGGGAAGGCTCCTATTACTTGGAGCACCGCAGCTGTTCACAGTTCAGGTGTCGGAAAGGAACCACTCTAGCCTCAGTTCAGCGCCGAATGTAACGCCTAGATATGGAGGAGACGGTCACTGCAAAAATTCATCGGTCAGCAACAACAAAACGTCGTACTCTGTAAAATAGTCTAGCACCACACCCGTATGTTAAACTCCGACTAGCGAAGACAACAGCCGCAGTAATGGTTCACATGTAAATACCGATCACGCCCCGCGTTCAAGGTACCGACTACGTGCGGCAAAGAAAACTTCAGGATCCACTGAATTAGCTGCGCGATCACCCACTGCGCACACAAACGCACGAGCGCGCGCCCCTGATGCCCTATTCCCTAATGCCGCCGACAGTCAGCACCGCACCGTCTGCATCAAAATCCTACAATAACTTTACCACTGCCACTGTTCGAGTTCCAGCAAAAGGGAAATTGAGAGTTCCTGTGCACAAAGTTCTGGTGTGTCCACGAGTGTGAGTGGGAGAAGCGGTTCATTAGCAGGAGACGTCACACGCCCATGAGTCGCTGCAGATGAGCGGACTCACAAAGGGACGAACGGAGTGCCGATTTGCCCGGCCAAACGCGATTTAGATCGCGTCGCAGTTCGACGAGGAACCAGATGGCCTTCGCCTTTTGCGAGCAAAAAGATAACGAGCAGGGGCCCCGACTCTCCCGCCTCCTCCGCTGGCCAGTGGAGAAGACCTCACTCAAGCCCGCGGCATCCGTTTCAACTTCTCCTGGTCTTCAATAGGCTACGATGCTGTTTTATGATCACAATGCGCCTCCATTTCGCAGCCTGTTTCAAGTAGTTTCATCCTCGCGCCTCCACGTGCTCGCCATCACCTGCGCGTCGCCCTCTCCACTTCCGGAGTGTAGATGTCGTCCAACAACCACGTTCTCACAATAATATATATACATATACTGAATGACCCTCTGCCGCTGTGGTTCTTCTATTGGGAATCTCTCTCTCTCCCTGTTCCGGTTTGTTGCCCAGATTTTTGCTTGTTCTAGGGAACTATTCAGTCAGATTTCAACTCTAACGCTCACATTCCTGTGGAAACGTTACCTTCCACTTGCTCCGTGAAAAGATGGCCCTATTCCATGAAAATCTAACTTAGCCCTCCGAAAAACTTAACACTTCAATTGAGCCCTTTCTGCATTAATTATGGTTCGATCGTTGGTAGTCTCTGGTTAAGCAGGAACAAAATGGCGATAAACATGCTGCTACAATCCTACTGCACCCACATCGGCCATACCTAACCACTGATTTTCCCCTTTCTTTTCGCTGGGATTCAACACTGCCACAAACACAGTCATTGCTTTCATAATTGGAGGGGGGGAAAAGTAAATTAATTAAAGGAAATCCAAGTTGTGAGCTGGTGTATTTGTCATTGTTATTATTTCTTTCTTTCTTTGTGTGTGCCTGTGTGTGGGTCAATATATTTTTAATTCTTTGCTCTCTTGGTGAATAAACCAACGAGCATGCCTTGATCCACACTATAGCAAATTTACGCCACATTGCTTGTATGAATCATTTAGAAAAAAAACACCATGAGTCAACAGATTGTAGAGATTGTAGAGGTTGTTAGCTGTTGTTTGAGATGTCTACTCTACACAACAACCAGGCAAAAAAATCCAAATTCGATTTGTTAATTTTTGTAAATAAATGTTATGAAGTTGTAAGCATGACAAGGTTTACATGACAAAGTGTTTGAGTAATATGGTACTGTTGCATTCATTACTTTGTGAGTGGTTGTGAAGTGGGGATTTGAAATATATTAATGTTTTTTCAACAGCATATATATATATATATATATACACATGCACACACAACAATGACTTGCAACATCTTTTTAAAGCCCATTAATGAAGTTAATTTTGCCATCCCACACAAGATCATTATTTGTTGATTTATCTCTATTCTGGTTTCCAGTTACACACATTCAATGTGGAACATAGTTGTAAATAAAATTGGTAATAAAAGTAAACAACATTGGCAGTAAAAGTAAACAAAATTAGTAATAAAAGTCACAGTTGTTCCGTACTTGTACTTGCTTTTCTTACGCTTCCTCTAAAAGAAGGTAAGATATTCAAAAAAAGCAAAAGATCGCAATTTCAAGGTTTAAGGTTATGTTCACAACATCACAACATTTATTTACAAAAACAATGCAATGCATGGGTTCATTGAACCTAGTCCATGTGATGGAGAATGGATAGTGCTTTTTGGAAGTTGAGATGCACTGAACCTGGTCCAAAATGATGATTTGGGAAGTTGGGTGCATTACATCTAGTCGCAGTATGGAATGCATCCATCTTTTTTGGAGCTTTTAGGGTTTTTATTTTTGGGAGGCACATTCAAGCTGGAAGCACAGTTCCCATGTCACTGGGGCACATGTTGCCCATTTCTCATTCTTTGCAGGGCAATTGTAAAGAGTCCCACCCGTGAATGTCCAAAAACAGGCAGGAAGGTGTTTCTGGACATCTACTGAGACCAAATGCATCAGGAACATTTTGCCCAGCCATGTGAAGGGCAGAATCCCATGTCCAGTCCACCAGATGATACTGGCAACACAAATTAGGGTTAGGGCTAGAGTTCGGAATTAGGGTTTCTCAAATTTTTGCAAGGCAGAGGAGCACCTATACTTGTTAATTATTTGCTCAGGGCCCACACGATTGTTCTGTTGTTCTGTGATTATTATTTTTACTTGGCACCATAATTTGATTGAATGATCCATATTCTCAAGGAGTAATTGATACTCATGTGCTTTTATTTACGTCTATTATTTATTTATTTATTTATTTTAATATGAATGACTAATTACCTTAGCTATCAGTTCACACTCTATGACCCCTTCAAATACCAAATATTTGTAATTTTAGATAACAATTGGTCCAGGAATGATACAATATGCAATACTTGCATCAACACAATATCCCAGTTGCAATCATGTAAATATTGTGGTTGATCTTTCAGATAAAAAAATGACATCTGTAATACACCATGCTAAGAAACACTATTGTTGTAATTGTTTTTCCTTTCCATCACACTGACAGAAATATCTTCAAAAAGTACATACAAGACATAATTATTGTATGTTTGCAACAAGTTGTTCATTGATTCAAATAGGGTGCCGACATAACTTTTGTTTATATAATTAAATTATTAATTTGGGGTTACAAGAAAGTGTTTATTTTGAAATTTTAAAATCTACATATTAAATGAGATTATCTTATATAGTATTTGAGTAGTAAATAGTTCATCGAAAAAATACACATGGAGCAAATGTAGTGTATCACCATGCATTTTGCACTTGATTAGGTATTGGATCCTAAAAACACAGATTTTAGTTTTATTCATTTAAAATAAATATGTAAGTAATTAAATAATTTTTATAGTCGAAATACAAGTTATCATGATTTTAAACTTTTCCAAGCATGATATAATGTTATATACATTTCAGAAAAAGAGATTTGGCTTTCGAAATGAACAGAAATTTTAGTCTTTTATTGTTTTCGTGTTCTTTTCCCTTAAAAATCTTCACTATCTAAGAATCGAAATGTATATATATATATAGACACACATACTGAATAATATTTCATATGTTATTTGTGTAAAGAAAAATGTCACTAGCATACATATGCTTTAGTATATATAAGAACTTGGTTGACTTTTATTTTTGCTCGTCGTTATTTGAAATAAATAATTTGAAGCTTATTCCAAATCTTTTATACTCTCTTCCATCAATATTTGATTTTTGATTATATTTAACAAACATATACACATATACGTATATATATATAGTACAGTACAAAAAATTTAAAATAAGAGCTATTTTATTAATATTTTTAGTTGACATGTGCAATTATATTCTGATCAACCTTTGTATTGTGGTTTGGAAAACAATCTCTATTGTAAATGAAAATCACATGTCACCTAATCTTCTTTAAAAGACCAATTTTTCATGCAGAATATATATATATATATATATATATATATATATAATTTATCCTTCAAAAAATCCGAAATGTGTCACTTGGACAAGTTTCAACTATAACAATGCAATTGCCTCACACATAGTTGCAGAGTTATCTGTTGGTACAACATATTAAACTAATTAATCACACAAAAATATTATTGATGTGTGAGTACATATATACTTTTATAATATAAGATTCGATTTTTCATTTTGTAATGAAATACTTAGAAACAATTACTATGATTTTATTCACAACTTAAAAAAAAAAAAAAAAAAAAACTTCACTTTCTGCACATGGACACATACAATTACAATAGAAACAAATTCATGAAATTGTTGGTGCACGTAACAAAACAGAAATGAGAGGCCGCTCACTGTCATCCTCATCTTTAACAAGGAAATGAACATACAAAAATGTACAGCCCATCAATACTTACAATAATATTTTAATCCATGTTACAGAGTGGAGGCGCCCTGAAACCCAAAAATCACAACAACCTGGCACCCAAAAGTAGCAAAAAAGCAAAGAGTTCTGCCATCACATTCAACCAAAACTGAGCAACAGAAGCAGAGCATTAAACAGGCCCCCAGATAGAAGTGGATAAAACGGCCACCCAGAAATAGACGTCCAACTCGGCTTTTCTAAACTAGTCAACAGCCTCTTCTAATAAACTAGCTGCTACCACGGATCCAAAGGGTGGGGTTTTAGGGTTTACCCTTTCGGGTCCTCAAGGGCCAGCCAACTCGGATGAGGCTTGGTAGTTGGGGATACAACTCACCCAGCTACTGCGCCAACGTGGCGTACTACACGGGGACGGGTGCCCGCCTTCAAATGTGCCGATTCCCGTGGGTTGGTGGCCTTGCCCCGTTGATTCTGGGTGCACTTTATAACGTTTCGCAGTCAGGGTGTGCTGTACCTCACCCGCTGACTTTTAAACGGGTCCCCGGGGGGGGGGGGGATACTGTTAGCTAAGCATACCACAAGACAGTATTAACGTGGGAATACCTTGAACCGTCGACTGAAGGTTTTTCAGCTAGCACGGGGGTTTATTTTTGGAACAAATATTTTGGGTGGAGAAATAAGGTTTTGATGTGCTCCAGAAGAAAAAAATTGAACTTCATTAGTGGTTGAATTGATAAAAATGATCAAAGCAGTTTTTGCAGTTTACCCCTAAACCAAGTCATAGACTTGAACAAAACCGTCTGTAAAACAGGTTAAACCACCACCTCCATCACACAAAACCACCACCTTCAATGTTGTGAAGTTAGCTGATCATAGGTGGACTTGGAATCCTCTTGGAATCTTTCTACATTCTTCAAAGCGGATTTGGGTTAACAAGGTCTACGAGTTGGTTAAGGGTTTGAGACGGTTTAAGGTATTCCTACGTTATGCCATGAATTCTGTGTATATTTCTCCTTCTCCTTCTTCAGTCTCTGCTACTTCTGCCCCTATTGGATTTTGACACGTGTCCATTTGGATTGAGTGTTGGGAGAATTTGATCCACTTGGAGTCGTTGCCCTTTGCTGACGTGGTCTCTCTTGCCAAACGGGGGATGGGGGGGGTTTCAGATGTATCATTTGATAACCAATCATGCCGTGATGTAAGATTTCTGCTAGCTACGTTGAATGAACTAGTACTGTTGCATTTTGTTTTTCTGAAAACAGAACATCAAAAAAACAGCTGTGGTGTATAAATAACAAATAGATATGGATGGGAAAAAAGATATAACTTCAACTTTATGTTTAAAATAATAATAATCAAAATTTTCAAAATTTTTTACACTTTTTAAAATAAAATTTTCATTCTATTTAAGAAAATCGTTTTTTGTACTATTTGGGTTAAATATGTTATCATTTATAACAAAAAAAGGAAAAAAAGAAAATGGGTGCTTTATTTGTTTGATTATTTTCCAATGAGGTTTTGACAAGATGCATTCCACATTCTCTTTTGTCAAATTGTTACCTAACACCCACTTTCTTTTATACTTAAGTTTTCATATATGTGTAAATATATGGAGAAAATCTGCACATACAACACATATAGTTGAATAAATAGATATATATCTCTTACATAAGATAATTTAGGGGGATAAACCAACAAGATAAATTAGAGGGGACAAAACCATATCTAATTGGCTGTATGTCTCATTGTTTTCATCAAAAGTGAAGTAATTACTCAACTTTTGATCAATTAGAGATCAAAATCTGCATGTTGTTGTTGCAGACTGCCAAGAGTAATGCTGCAAGAATATTAGGCATGGAGCAACACAACTCTAGAAGCACCACAATGAGGAAGAGCATGCAACATATAGTTTCACATCATATGAAGTTTCAAACAGAAGGTTAGTTTCCATTGTTTTTTCATGGTCAATATCATGGGTTTCTAGTAGTAGTAGTATTATATATATATATATGAGAAGAGAGAGAAATATGAAAAGTGTGGGGCCCTCAGAGGCAGGAACAGGAATGGTATGTACTAGTGGAATATGAGGCAAGCCAGATGGCAACACTGTTACTGTATTATGTCCTTATAATTGCTCCATTGTTTGACCATGTGCTCATTTCTCAACATATGCATGCTTTATTGAGTCACTGCTAATCTTTCAATGATTTTTATTTTATTTTATTTATTTATTATTAGTGGGGATGTGTGCTCTATCCATGCTCAACAATGCCCTCCCTTGTTTGTGTCTCTGATATCTGTTAACAAATGGGTTACATTCATAATTTTTATTCTTAATCGTGTTTATTGTCTAGAGCTTTAGCAAGCAAATATCAAATGTATTGTAATGTATCTTGTGCAGATCCAATCAAATGAGGCAACCTCAAGATGTGTGAGTTGGCAGACACTGTAATTCATCAACCATAACGAATGTTGCAAATGTTTAGAACAGTATTGAAACCATTGGTTGATTTATTTTTATTTTATTTTCTCTGTTGTAATATTTTGGTAACAGGGTATTTGATTTGAAATCAATTATTCTAACACCACTGTCAAATGCTGGTAAGATGACTTCTAAGTTCATACTATAAATATAACATTTATAAAATATAAATCAACCTAATTGCAATTGGCTGCATAAAAATTGTAGCGTGAAATAAAAAAAAGAAAAAGAAAAAAGAAGCTCATTATTCAAAGTACAGAGGAAAAATCATTGATAAGTGCCTGCTCCCTATTTGATTAAAATCAAACCTGGAAGCTTGTATTTTTTGACAATACTTTGTCGGTAAATTTAAAACCTTAAAATAAATTTTAGAATCTAGAGAGACTTTTCTATGTCTGCATGAATTAACACAGTATTTGTACACCATGCAACCATGTAATAATTATTTCAAAATCTTATTCACCTACTGCAGCATCGTCGTGCAGTTAAAAAAATGGCAATTATATATATATATATATATATATATATGTACTCATTTTCCAGAGTCGTCTTATTTGTTTACTTTGATTAGTTTAGTTTTTAGTTTTTTTAGTTATTTTTTCGCAATACTCACAACGCCGCGTGCAGTAGGAAAATTAGGGCTAGGGTTTACGTATATTGCAGAAGAAAAAGTTAGGATTGAATTTCGATTCGAAGGTTGCACATTGTGGAATGGGCGGCAACGTCGTTGCCGATACTGAAATGTGAATGAGACGGTGACAGAGCCTCGATGTGATCGAAGGAAACGAAGCAGACATGGGTTGCTAAATCAGAGTGCGGAGACTAGAACACTCTCCAATTAGGTTTCCCTGACCTTCTGCGCGGTGAAGGTCAACGGAGTCTTGTTTGTAGCTTCTCTGCTGTGCAGTGTGGATTGCTGAAGGAGATTGTGGGGCCTGGAAGATGAGTGACACCTTAATTTTTCCATTATCTACCCAGCAGTGGAATCCAATGATGCCAGAGGATCCACGCTCGCGGAGTGCCTTGCCTGCAAGAGGGATGCTGCAGGCCCTCCGCTGGGTCCTTCCCTCCTCACGCCAGCAATTGCGGAAAAAACGTCTGGCCCTGATCGCCGCGTTTCGCCGGATCCCTTGAGCTATAATTGTCGAGTGGACGACTCGCGAGTAGCGGTGGTCGGCGCCTGAACGTGCGTTTCTGATCAGTAACTCCTCTTTTTTTTTTTTTTTTTTTTTTTTTTTTTTCATCGCTTCGGAAGTTTTCTTTCCAACCTGCGGTCAGAACCCCGAACCCCCTCTTTTTCAATTGCAACCTTGATCACCGCTGCAAAGCAAGACCGCGAGTCTTATTAAGCCTATAGAGTGATAATCAATCCTTTATTAACGAGAAGAATGTTATGGGGAACTATTCATTACCACAGAAAAGTAAGACAGGGTTTCTGGGTGCTGTGAAGGACTTCGACAGATAGAGAAGCGTGGGACTTGCACATTGTGAACCAATAAAAATAAAAATAAAAATAAAACGGGGTTTTTTTAATTTAAGGGATGGATTCAGACTCCTGGAAATGCCGAGATAGTGTTGCAAGCGTGGGACACTATTCAACACAACACTCGTGAACAATTGAAGATACCAAGATACCAATAGAATGTTATGGAAAACTTAATCCACATTCAATCTACCATATATGTATTACACTGAATGTCGCTATTTTAAGAACATCAGTTTTTTGAAAATTGGACGCAGTACAAGAGCCACATGATTCTTCACTGCAGCACACTGCCGCAAGTACAGAATTGTAATTTGTGAGAGAGACTCTGCAGGTTCAGGTGCACATGGAAATTTTGTCTCTGTTGTTGGCAATCCCAATTCTCAAGGGCACAGCGGGGTGGTCGGCCGATTCAGTGGACCCAGCAGCGCCTGCCTGACCAATGACGCCATCTATGAAAAGAGGAACCAAATGGACCAGCAAAGTGGAGCATATCCCGGATTGGGACGACGGTAAAGGTACCAGATGCTCAGTAACGAATTGCCAGAATGTCTTCATTTTTGTTGCGATGACCACAATACGATGCCCCAAAACTTGCTAATCGTTGACACCCTTGTTCCCTTCACAACTAACAGAGCGTCATCCACTTCCCGAAAATAAGCGAAAACATGCTTTCGTGTGGCCGAGCATCTTTGTAGCATCTCTGGATCTTCTTGTATGATCTCTTGCCGGATCTGGACCTTTTATTTTTGAGCTCATTGATGCTGCGGCTAATGGGGTTGGGTAAGAGGTACTGCACTTTTTCTCCATCTTTGGCGTCTGGTTAAATTAGGTGATCTGCGAGGATGCGTGAGGGTGAACCTTGGTTTGAAGTGCGCAATGTGGACCTCTGAACGCCAAGAGTGGTGCCATTGTCTGTAATAGAAGTGTGAGAATCTCTGTTGACTGATAGCGTGCACACATCGCAACGAGATTTTCGGGAAGGAAGGGAGTGGTGTCTGTCCCCTAATGAATCCATAAGACTTTCATGCGGTAGAATATGTTAATAGAATAAGAAAAATCTCTTTGGTCAGTTTTCAGCTTCAGCGATTCATATTTCATGCATGATGGATATGTAACAAAGACGGGCAATGTATCTAAGGCACTTGAGAGAAGTTCATCATAACTACACCCCCTACACCACATCAAGGAAAACTGCTAAAAATCCATATGTGAATGCAAGCTCAATAGACTGTAAATTGATGTGGACCAGCATTAGATAGAAGAGGATTGTGCTCTGGCGAAGAATGTGACAAAATTAGCAACATACAATGATTATTGGAATCTTATTAACTTCGTGAGTATCTACAAAAGAAAATGTAAGACCTGTTTCCAGTACTAGTAAAGGAACACAGGTTAATGTGTTCAAAAAGATACATAAAGTTTGCCTACCACCCACAGCTACATCTGCAATTCCAATGCTACACCAAAGCGTATGCTTTTTATTTTTATTTTTATTGAATGAATAAATGAATTAAAAAGCAAGGGCAAGCAGAATCGGGATTGAGAGTGTATCCATGACCATGAAAAACTACACAATCTTACAAGAGTTTTGGATCGTAGAGATAGCGGAAGGTCCAATCGTAGGGTTGTACAGACATACGCCGCCGGATGCCTTTCCCAGACCGTTTCTTGATACATTCGTCAAAAGCCGCTCGTTTCTCCTGGGGTAACTTATCGGCGATCCACTCAATTAAAGACTCAGCATCATGAGAGAAGTCTCGAGCATACCAATGAAGGATCTTTGGTATCAGAATTGTTTTCTTATTCACACCAACAGCTGCCATCAAGTAGTCCCGGCATGATTGGTCCAATTCTGATTGGATGTTCGCAGCGGTGTACACACGCAACTGCAGAATGAAAATCAAGTATTAAGAATATGCACTGCAGTGGCACGTTCCATTTAGAGAGACCTTATGGAAATCTTCGTAAAAATGATACTATTCATAGAAAATCTGAACTTGGTTAAAATCAATAGAAGTTTCGGGCACAAGCACAGAACAAAGCAAGACCCAGAACTCACTAAATACTAAGGATGTAACTCTTGTCTGTGACCAAGTGGATCACATCACAATGTTCTCAATAGCGACAGCTTTATACACAAAGGGTTGAGGTTCTGAAGTACTCACAACAGGGCTGGACCTGCTTCCACAGCAAAGAGCAAAACTGACAAGTGGCTCTGCTTGGTCAAGGGACGATGCTGCAGGGTCATCATTCTTCTTGGGTTTCGGAATGGGGAACAGATTTGCCTAACAGCACCCACCATCATAAAATACGATTTTAGATTCCACAAGTTTCATTTTTCAACCCCAGGTTTTAAATACATTAAGAATTCGGGAACCGTATTTGCCTGGTAGGACATTGTAACTACAGAAAAAGGAACGATGTACGTTACCAATGGAGGTTTGTATGAATTAGCCCTCAATATCGAGTGTTCGATCATCAGAGGACTATATTGAAATCCACCCACAATGTAGGTCACCTGACAACACAGGATACGCAGCTATTACTTACAGAAAAAAAATACTTTGACAGACATGGCTCTGGACAGCATGGAAATGACTAAAAAATAGGACTATCGAAACACAAGAAAAAAAGCACACCTTGTTCATCAAAGTGATCCTCTTGTAGTGATTCTTTGGAACTCCATGTACTAGAGTCGCCTGATACACACAATAAGTAGACTCCAATCAGATTTCAGATGAGAAAGCATTTAAAGCTGTTTTGCCTCTCAATAGGTGTTGAGACACTTTGACCTGCACTAATAATTTGTGTACGAACCAACACAAAAGTGAGCATTACTATACTCGTCTCTAAGTATCATCGCCTCTAGTTCTGATGCGTTCCAAAGACTGAATGAGGGCACTTATAAACGACAAAAGTACTGGATGATCAAGTGCCAGAGAGTGAGATTCAGATTTACATGAAGCATGAGTGCGTTGTAAATGTTAATCCAGAAAGACAAACGCTGCTCATGGTTCATACACTTCGGCTCCACATTCTTCAAGATTTCCAAAAGACATCTGATATATCCCAAGAAAGGGAGCTTAGTGGCAGCACGGCAACGCACAGATAAAAAGAAAACCTGTACAACTCATAGATATGTAAAAGCGTTGATATACAATGATATACAATAAGAAATCAATGTAAAGCTCTGTGGGAAGCCATACTGCAATCGCTGATAGAGAGCAGTACAAGCTTTAATTTCAGATTCCGTAGGGAGCACAGTCACTTCCAAATTATCGTCATAAATCCCAATATCCCAAGCAGTATTTTCTTCTTTTATACCATATGGATCCACTGCCACAGATTCACCTTTCTGCTCTGTCATGGTATCTGGAAGTGTGATGTCCTGCATGAAGATTCCAAAAAGAATCACATATGCGGTTATTCACTAAGATATATCTTTTTGAGTTCGAAAGGTTCGAACGAGTTGAAGATAGTGCACGTAAGGAATCTGCAAGTAGTGATTTTGAGTATCATTTTCATCATTAAGAAACAGCTGCGACATACAAGATCACATCATTCAATTTTCGACAGTCAATCAAACAGGTAAAACATTCCTGGCAGAACTTACTTGTGAGTATCGCCGACCAATTTTTCGCATTGAAGAACCAAAATCTTGGGAAGTAGTGCGAATTAAGGCACCAGTTGAATGTGATTCAGATGCACGTTGATGAAGCGAAGCAACAGTCCGCACAAGCTCTTCAGACAGCTCGTTTGGGCGGTGAACTAGACCACTCAAGTCTGAATCTGAACTAACACCTCTTACAGATGACGCACCTGATTGTGAGTAGTCCTAAATGAGAATCAAAATAAAATATTAGCTCCCAAGAACTATACCAAGATCCCCCACAACACTCACTTCCAAACGATCTAGTTGTTAATTGCAGCCAGGTTTATCCTATTTCTACAATTCTACCTTTGAACATAGTAAAAGGTGGGACAAGCAGTACCGACCTGAAGTGACAAGTCATTAATACGATGGAGAGCGTTGAGCGCACCAAAACCACTTTTAACTGACCGAAACTTCGACAATGTTCGAGCAACTCCTGATTCTTTGGGTGGGCTTCCAATATTAGCTAACCTCTCATCCTGCATTACCACATTGAGAACTCAATAGTATCACTACAGAAATCAACAAAACAAACTGTGGAATAAACAGGGAGAATGAAGGCAATCAAGCAAGAACCAAAAAAGAAAAGAAAAAATGCCGCATTGACAGTTTTTATCTATCAGCAGCAAACCTGTCTAATGTAGATATTCTCTGGTTCCTGCGTATTCCTTGAGGAGTGACTTGACTGTATCACGTCACTAACGGACTTCTGAAGCATTCCATGTGCCGGGCGGAGGTCTGAATCTTTCTTTCGATGCTCCTTGTCCGCTGGGGTAATGCTTTTGAAGTCCAAGGATGCCAAACTATTCAAAAGATGCTGTGTGTTGTGTGCCTTCAGTCTTGTGGTGACGTGAAACTGCAAGATTAGAAATACAAGTATGATAAGAATTAGTATCAAGAGAAACAACCAATCCTTGATCCTCGGCCCCTGCGTCAACAGCCACGCGTTGCTAGAAGACGTAAAATGAATACTCGCTTGGAAAAAACTGGCATCGCAGAAAACTGCAAACGAATTGCAAGTCCAGAATGAAATATAACACCTAACTATCATTAGAATACTACGAGGCGTGTACACCCCAATTGAAACTGTGCTTTTGGTGGTTTATAATGAGGCCAAATGAAGACCACATGCATCTACGCCAGATGACGAGTCCCTGTAGTTGTCAAGCAGAGGAATTTCACTTGCAAATTAATAACTATCTGATCACCATACTTCTGGTAGTGAAGCAAAACGCATTTACTCACATCAGAAAAACACTGCTGGCAGAAGTATTCTTGGCAGGTTAGGCAAAATAAAGCTGGTGGCGAGTTTGATATGTCACGTGTGGCACATACTGCACATCTACCCACACAATTCTGGAGTTATGTGAAGATTTTACATGTCATACTTGATCGCTGATTACATTCCTATTGAAATTGTTTCTCTTGGCTATGACATGTAGAACAATTAGCAGACGTTGTCAAACACAGGCATGAAGAAATGCTGCCCATGAATAAATTTGGTCAAATGAATTCGATCGCATCATAGTTTGAGGCCCAATATTGTTTGAAAAACATGAAAGGAACTACTGATGGACGATAAGATAGCTTTTATCGACATTGGCTTCATTCAGTACTCATACAATCACGAAGTTTTCGAAAATTTCCTAGATCCTTTGTTTGCACTCATGCGCTTTCCATGCTTGAAATCACTCACTGAAGTCAGCACTTTAAGTTCCGACATTCCTATGAGGATGGTTTCCAATTCAGTGAATCAGATGAAGGCAATTTAAGGACATTATGTTATCGACCGACCAACTCAAGAGCAACTGTATTGTACCTGTCAGGGATATTTGAAGTCTGAGCGAACAGTGTCTCGCTCCCTGCTTCCACCATAATTTTCACTTGTCAATGATGAACTTGAACAATAACGAAACTGGATAATAATGCGTTGAGCACTCGTAATATCATAGAGCCTACATCCTCTTTCATAGGGGAAAAAAGAGACACAACATTTATCTCAATTACAACTGTACAGAGCAAAAGATTTTTAGTGGATCCAAGTGTGTAAATTATACATACAATAATGCGTCTCATAGGGTCTCCGAAAACAGAACTATTTCATTCATTACATGGTGCACACCTGGTATGTGCCTGGTACCAAGCTGCTCCGCATCTTGATTACCCAACTCCATCTACACCATGCATGTTGACACGTCGATTAGTCGACGCACATCAGAGATTCATTTCAATTCCATAAGAATAGATCCAAATGAAATTAAAAAATTGCAATGAACATATGCTGCATCATCTATGTAAATTCAGTTTGTATGTTCTGTATGAAGAAATGAAAGAGTGTCGATTTGGTTTAAGAGCGGCACTCATACTTTTCTGCAGAAAAAGAGAAATCAGATAACTGAAACACCAATCAAAACCATGCGTCAATTGGCCAATACACACCTCAGTCTCGAAATATTCAACTTCAATGTCACTGGTTTCATCACTGGTATCACTGAGCCCATCAGTGTCTTTAGTAGACGGCCCTTCAGGCTCTATGATAACTTCCTGGCCTGTTTTAGGATCAATAATAGGCGGCTGTTTTACGGCTGCCTTTAATCTTTGGCGCCCAAGAGTTTCTCGGGCAGTTATCTGCGTGAAAAAGTTCAATTTTGATTATTGGAAAATATCGATGATTATTATACAAAAAGAAGCACAGAGTTAAGTTCATAGAGGAATGGAAAGTAAGAACATAAGCTCAAATTTCAATTAGACATTCTCTTAAAAAGGAATTCTTGGTATACTTGTGATTTGTATGTGATAATGAAGAGAAGTACCTCCTCCAAAGTAAGATCGAACCATTCATCCAGCCAACAAAATGCATTGCGATGAGTGAGAAGCACGATCTGGAAATGCAAGGGCGCGTGTGCATGAGAAAGTCTCGCCCTACAGTACGCAACACTGTAATAGGAAATTGTCGCTTAACATAAAAATCTGAAACAACCAAGTACTTTCCATAGATAAAGCACACATTGATTGTAAACATCAGCCTATGCTAACAGATATTTAGCAAGAGAAGAAATCACTGAGAAGGTCAAGCATAACTTTGAGTGCTGAGTGCGGGTCTGTTGAGCCAATGTCAAGTCATTCAATTTTTTTTTTTTTTTTTTTTTTTTTTTTTTTTTTTCATTTTGGGACAATTTTGGGACAATTCATGTTGAATGCTGTACCTGACGAATTCCATTGTTCATCAGTTTCTCAGCTCGGTTCTGTACACCCCAATAACTGCAGAGTGCACAGGACTTTAACATAAACAAAAATCCAGGGCACACTTGAATCAAAAAGAATCAGAAATCTTGTCAAAATGGATTCCTAAAGAGAATACAAGATTTAACAAACAACCAGCATGGGAAACATGTATCTGTAAACATCCTACCGAAATCCTCAAAAACAGTCTCTTCACCACATCTGAACCAAAATATATAAATGGTACCACATCTTCTATGCAGACTTAGCTATAGTGCATCTGAAAGGCTTCAAACATAATTACCTGATCTTTGAAACACTGAGTTCAACATACACACTTTATACATGGCAAGTCTATGAAAGTTTGCAAAGCGAGATTCCTGCTGATCATATCCTTGTTGGCAAGGATCTGACAGGAGCTGTTACCTACTTGGCTTCCACTTTGACCAATTTGTATGCACACATTGTTGGTACCGTGTTACCACGCCAGCCTTTTCTGAGAGGTCCTCGTCTGTTTCAATCCAGCAATCATTGTTCATTGCACATCAATCCAATATCAATTATTATAAATACCGAAAAGTGAAGCCAATTGTCTCGAAGGCGATAACACTTCCAATCTTTTAGGAAGATGGAATTCTCCTTATTGATTAAACTATCAAGCTGATAATTGAACGAGGGGGTCCCCTCCAAGCCCTATGTATTCACATACTTTCTAGTAAAATTACATGAGAACATACTGGATACAGAACAAACTTACACAGTTTTCTTGGAAACATAAAGTTTTGGATCCAATTCTTGTCGGTAGTCTCGTTTCGAGACCTGCATGAGATTTGATTGTCAAGCAAGTATTTCAGAGCACACTTCTTATTTCATGCCTATCAAATTTTTAGAGGACTGTCCAAAAGTTCTCATGCCCTAATTATGACCCTCGAACCCATCCTACACTTCACGATCCTGCACCCCTCCAACTAGGCGGTATATTCTTTAGTAGCAAGCAGGAACATTGTTTATCTCGGTCTACCTCAAGTGTCTATACCCTCCTACCTGAGATGCGAAACCAGAACTGTCACATCTAAAGTCCAATTCAAGTCATCCATACCCCATAACAACCTAGGAGTGATTATTTGAGGGAGATGACTTACATCGTCAAAAGCTATGTCAATCATGTCAACTTTGCGGATTGCAAGTTCAGTTTTCGTAAGATTATGAATGTTTTCCGTTGAGCCATCGTCGTTTGCGTGCATGCTGAGCATTTCTATTTTCAGCTGATGCCAAATTCAGAGTCCAACTTTTAATCTTCCCTGATATACCGCACACACAAGTGGTACTCCAATCAAAAACAGATGCAGCTCAATGACTCTGCCGCTATAACTTTTAAAACTCACCTTGTTGAAGAACGGAATAGAAATGGTCGTCCGTATATATGGATATGCCATCCAGGTCTTTTCATCAAGTATCAGGGCGTTCGAAGGTATCAACCTTGTCACCTGGCACCGCAATACCCCTCCATACATTAGAGTTTTGTTGGAACATTGCATATGCTTGTAGCTGTTTAAATGCACCAAAATCAGCGAATACCTACTTCAAGTAATGTTGGAGAATTATACCAAAGCTTGCTACAGATAAATACAGAACACAACCTTTTGATCAACACAAGATTTGTGACAAGTATAAATAGCAACATACATATACAATAAATAGAAGCCGGTACAGTCATTCACGTTTGCACCACATCCACAAAAAAAGGGTTTCATAGTAAGACAAGGATGTCATGGTGAAGCAAGCCTCGAACACTTACCCAATCAGGCAACCGGTCTCCGAGGCGATAAAGACTGTGCGTGTAAATTCCTTCGCCCCATGTCTCGTGTTCATAAGGCAATGTTGAGAGAAGCTGTGGACATTAGTTCGATTATTTAGGCAAACAATCGTAAGCTGGACACTTTAGCTTGGAGCAATCGCATGAGAAAATTGCTAAATCTGATGCAGGCGAGACTCACCTGTCCGCCTTGACCCTCAGAGGTATTTAGTTCATTAGTCTTGAAGTTGGCAAATCGTTGACCCCTCCTGAATTCCTCCACTGCTCCCAGCCATCCATTTCAATACAAAGTGAGTATGCACAGCTAAAGGTGCTCTTGTTTAACAAATTATTACACGTCAGTGAGAACTGGTAAATAAAGAAAGACAAAGCTTTACTGAGTTCATAAGGCCCCGTATGAGACACAACCAAAGCAGGGCGATGGTTTGTAGTTCATAGCAGATGCATGCACAAGTAGAATTGATCGCCTGATAGAGCAATGGTAGAACAACTATTACGCACCTGTCAGTGGAAGGACAACTCGCATTTCAGTTATGTGGACCATTTTGGCTTTGTATAGTAATCCTCAAGCCAAAAAATATTCCACAAAATGAAAATGCCTAAATCTGCTTCTTAAAACAAATTCATACGCTGTAAGAGCTTGAATCGAAGGCCTTGCCCAGAGCCTGGGTATGGTAAATTTTTCAGGGGCTGAAACCTATTTTGGTATCATGTCGTGATGTTGCATGGATAGTAAGATCCACCTAAGTAAGAGCCCAGAGCACGAATTCCAATAATCTGCAAAAGACATAAAAGAAAGCTTGTTAATATCTAAATAACATGAGAAGAGTTCGTCTTCCCTAATGTACCAATGTGGAGTGTAAGACCTAGACTTTTGCTGCAAGGAGAATGCAAGTTTTTAAACAGGCACCGACTTGAGCCAGCACTCAATGTGAAAAAAGCAGTAACCTGTTAAGTAGAGGGAAGGTGCTAAAGTATGGTAGAACAGGACTGAGTGTATGCATTAGGGCATGTTCACTTCATCCATATGCAGGATACGAAGTGCAGTGCTCCTCGGTCTAGATTGCCACGGCATCCTACTTCAGATTTCCCACTTAGTACCGAGGTACTGATAACAGTGGTCAAATGTTTGAAAGACTTAGCAGCTAGCGAGACATTGAACAATCCGACTTCCTGTTCAACGAAATAGTACCAATTTAACAATACAATGCTATCCAGTCCTTCAAGGATTAAACGTATCCTGATGTACTATTCAGCCACCTTGAGCTAAAAGTACAATGTAAACGTTGTAAGAATTCAGAACTTATGCCACCGCTCTATTCACATCGTTCATTTCCATCACCTGCGCCAAAAAGAATACCGTCCTATATATGAAAATTGGCGATCTAATCGTTGGTATCTCCTTCTAAACTTTTCAAGATTAAGTACGTAATGGTGTGCCAGCTTTACAATTCTCAGAATTGTTGACTACCTCTTGCACTTGAGAAGCATATTGATGACATGCTCCAACAGCTATGACGCTATCCATGAATCCCCTTTCCTTCCATATTGTACACTCCAAACCAATCCCCTGCCCTTACTCATCATGCCCGGAATCGCCAAGAGATACAACAGAAGAAGAAAAAAAAGAAAAGAAAAAAGAAAAGAAAAATCGAAACTACCAGAAGTATAAACAGGAATCTAACCATAGTAAGCAGAACATTCCCGCACAATTAATCAACACAAGGAGATGCTCCTGTCCGCCTCCAAGTTATCATCAAAGTCATGCCAAGCACATCGTGCCAACAATAGCCCAGAGGAACACCACCCGAGCTCACTGGACGACTAGAGCTCACTCACGATCGCTCTAAGGCAGGGAGCAAGCGAACCCGCACCACCAAAGAACACGCCACCGTTTACGCTCTAGAGCTTCACTCCTAGAGATGCGTGCCGCAAACTGTGATTCCGCCAGTTGGATGAAGAGGGAGCTCAGGGATTCATCATCGCTGGTGAAACCGCGACGACGGAGACCTCGCCACGAAGCCAGAGTCGAAGTCCCGACGACCGCAATTTCAGCCAGGTCTTCAGGCACAGGACAATCTCCCCGAATATCCCCAGATTAGAACCTTAACACCCTTCGGATTGCGAGGATTCTTAAAGCCAATCGCAACACTCTCGAATCAAAATTCAAACTCACGCGTTTCTCTCAATCTCCTGCTCCGGGAGGCCCTCGTTACAGACACATACAAACCAGTTCGGCGATGATGTCTCACCAAGCTCATGTACGACCACGACATCCCTGTCTACGTTTGTTTCACAAAAACGCTCGACGTTTTCTTACGAAGTGTGTTGCAAGCCTGCACGCGTACTCAAAACCAATGTGCAAAACTATAAAATGATTGTACTGATCATTAGAAAGGGAATATAAAGTAATAAGAAATAAAATATTAGTAAATAAATAAACACAACGTGAATTATTTGGAAGGAGCTTTTTCTTGCACAAGTCATGTCATGAAGTTTGACAATATTGTGCAGTGAGCTTGTAAGCATATGTGAGTTTGTCTTTAACTATATATTCATCTGTCCAATTCAGATGTCCAATTCATATATTCTTATCCACTTAAAATTTTCACGTCCACGTCCAATTTTTCATGCCTAAAAAAAGTTGAAATTGTGTTGTCTAAATTGGGATACTTCAATCATAATGACTAACTTTTGGAGTTGCATGCAACTTTTAGCAAGGACTTTATATATTAATCTGTTAGTTGCAAGTGAAAATACTTTTTGCAAGAATTTTGTATACTAATTTTTAATGGTGTGTGTTGTGTATCACTTTAATATCATATTGTGTTAGATGCTTGAATTTAGCTGTTTTTATTTTTATTAATTTTCATCTGATGCTTTAAGTTTGTTCATATATAATTAAGTTTATTTATATATTTAACTTTGTAAATAATTAAGTTTATATTATAAGTAGAAATAATCTGAATGTAATAAAATATTTGATTTTTATTTGAAATCTAAATTTGGAGAATGATAGAGTAGATATAAAATAGAAGTATTGAAGGTAATTGGGAGTTGAAGGATTATTAAAAGGACATTAAATACAATGAAAGATAGAAGAGTAAATATTATAAAAGATAAGAAACAATATATAATACAATTTTTTAGCATTTCATGAATGTAACAATACTATGTGAAAAAGACTAACTTTTTGGACAAAAAATTACATAAAAGCCTCATTTAATTTGATAATTCTCTTGTTAAATGATAGCAACTTCTTATACTAAATTTTTGATATTGAAAAAAAAAACCATTATAAATTGAGATTTAAAACAACTACTAATGTAATTATTTATTGTCAATTAAATTGATCAAAATAGGTTTCATTATTTGTTAATTTTTTTGATTATTAAGAATTCTTTATGATTAAATAAAATCTATAAAAACCACACAATTTATTTATACTATAATTATTATAAAAATCCTTATTATTAATATCTTATATATATATATATTAAATTGATCCATGCATTTACTAAATAAACCTACCTTTTATAACCATCATTAGAATAGATTTTAGAATATCTACATAATAAATAAGAATTATTTTGCATTAAAAAAAAATAACAAAAAAAAAAAGAAAAAAAAGAAGAAGACATAAAATAATTTTTTATTATAATAAAATCTTGTTTTATTATATAAACAAATGTGGACATGGAAGGTTGGAATAGAGACAAGAAAGATTGAGAGGAAGGATGATGAGATAGAAGGAATAAAGATAAAGAAAGTTATGATAAGGGACAAAGAAGTGAAAGTTGTAAATAAGAACATGGAACAAAGCATTTTTGATTTAGATATGATCTATTTTCTAATGATAGTTATCATAGGTAGAACAATTTAGTAAATGCTTATGTCAATTTAACAATTATATATATATAACCACAACTTATTCTTGTTAATATGATAATTATTATTTTACATCAAAATTAAAGTTTATTTTATATTAAAAATATATTAAATAGATTAAAATAATATTGAATAAATGGAAAGTTGTAGTGATATTAGAAAAAACTATAATGACATGTGGTCAATGGTAGATAGTAGAAGCAAGACTTATGGTGGCATTAATAATATCCTATGTATATGTATATAATTAATTATATATATTTGGTCATATATACATATATATATATATATATATATATATATACATATATATATAATTTTAAAAAATATGATAATTTAAATTATTTTGATTGAATTTGATAAGGATTTTAAATAATTTCTACCTTGCTTTAGTCAAATATATTATTTATATATAGTAGAAATTTTAAAATTAAGTAAAACCATGTTATTCCAAGAAATTTATTTTATTGCCACAAGTAATCTTTTGACACGATATTACATAGAAAGTCACATCCACATCTTTATACAAAGACTCTATATCCATATTTATGCATGTCATATTTACTTCATATTAATTTTTCTTATATCAAAAATATAAAAATAAAAATTTAATTAAATTTAAATATTTTTATTTTTTAAATTTTCATAAGTATTGAGAATCATGATTAATTTATGACTTATGATTATGGACATCCCAAAAACTCATTGGAAATACTATTCAACAAATTTGATATATTTTGTCACAATGTTAATAAAATGAATTAATTATATTAAAAAAATGCGGTTTTAAGATTTTTTATCCTTTCATTTTTTTATAATAGTTTAACTAGTAATTTTAATGAAATATTATTATAAAAAAACTATATTCATAACTATAATTTCAAATTTAATGTAATCCAAAATTTTACAAATTTATTAAAAATAATAATAATGATTAGTTAAGGATGTAATTACACATAAATTATAATTATCATAATTAATAAAGATATATTATGTTTTCACCATATCTATTACAAAATTTTATAGTATGTCAGCATATTAGAATAAAAAAACTAAATATATTTTCAATTATAACAGAGAACAATTAAAAATTCAAAGTAGAAAGGATCTCAAATCTAAAGCAATGAAAAAATAAATTAGAAAATCCTATACATTGGTATAGATGAGATATTAATAGGCATATATGCCATCTTAAAATATAATAAATATATACAACTGATTTTGCACTTCCTATTGATGACTTTTATTCAAAACAAAGATAAATTATCAATAATAAATTAATATGTAATATAATAAAATAAATTTAAGAATTATATCTTAAATATTTATTCATAAGATAAAGAACCAATGGCCAAAAAATTCATTCCTAGTCCATTACTTGCAAAATTATCAAAAAAATAACATATAAATCAATATATTGATAAATTATTTCATTGATCTAATTATTAATATTTAGCTTCAAACCAAAATACTATTAAAATAATATCATATCATTATTACATAGATACTATCATTTTCAAAAAATATTGGTAAAACTTCTAATAAGCATGTTGAACATATAGATTCTTTTAAATATATCAAATGTATAAAAAACAATTTCTTATAGGTTTCTTATTTTTAAAAAATTTCTTCCAAAATAATCTATAATTTAAAAAATTAGACCACAAGTTGTCAAGGATATAGAATACAAATAATCAAACATCAATACACTCTTGTATCACTTAAAAAGAGTAGCTATTTATTCAAAGATAGTATAATATTAAACCAAAAATGGCTATTGTTTTACATGTAGTACACAGTAAAACTCAATTGAAATAAAAATACTTATATCTTTAGTAATTTAGTCCCATAGAAGAACTTAGGATGAATATTAGAGATCCAAATCGGAACTAAAATATCTCATAATCATAACAGATTCCATTCTTATTGTGTCAAAATTAGAAATTTCTTTTTACTTTGACTTCATTCAATATACAAAAAAAACTACTGCAAACAATATAATTCTCTCTCTAAGATAATCCTCATGAGAATACTAAATATTAGTTTTAAATCTAAATAGAGTATATAATGGAACCTACTTCACATTCTCTATAAATTCTCCATTAGGTATGTCATTGAAATTTTATAAAGCTAATCTAATACTTCATTCTAGGATCAACTAGATGCATTAAAGCTATCTTGTTAAGCATATTCTTGCTCCTAGTGAACCTTTCTCAACCACCATGCTCTTGCATAATTTTAAATCTTTACACTTAGATCTTGTTTGTATCTAGATTTTCTTTAAAAAAAAGAATTGTAAAGGTGGAGTTCATGGACTCTTCTTTCAAATTGAAACTTTAACACTATAGAGCAATATATGAATGAGGTTTAATTCATATTCTAACCAACTACCAACTCTAATCATCTAGAGTGTCACTTCTTGATGATATTCCTTATTTTCAATGGCTTGTTGATGCACATTTGAATAAGCATAATTTTTTCTATTCACTACTTATTATATATATTTAATAAGAAGATTCTAAGAATATTTTAGAAATATTCTATGAGATTCTAAAAGATTTTAAAAGATTCTAAAAGATTTTAAAAGATTCTAAAAAGATTTTTAGAAGATTTTTAGAAGGTTCTAGAAGGTTTTTTAAATATTTCAGTAGATTCTAAAAAATTCTAGGAAGATTAAAGAAATTACTTGAAAAACTTCCTAAAGTTGCTTCATCTTTAAGCAATAGAAAAACTTCTCAAGAAGCTTTCTAAGATTATTTCATCTTCAAGCAATATGAAAATTTCTTAAGAAGCCTCTTAATACCTATTATATATTGGAGTCAAGGTTGACGAGATCCTTAGACTTGACAATACATCTCTTGAAAATCTACCTCACATTTCTTAGTATTGATCTTATATTTATCAAGTTTAATCAAATTTATCTTAGCTTTCTTATTGAAATTCTTTTGATCAACTTCTTATTTGGTTTCTTCTATAGTGT